AAAAATACGTAACAAGCAGAATATATAATATGCATTATATCAATATAAATAATTATTTAAAAAATTTGTTACAATAAAAATACAATAAACATGTTTAACGAAATTTTGAGTTTTCATCATAAATTTACTGGAAATAGTAATTAAATAAGTTTCTGATCACATATCAATCTAAAAAAAATATTTTATTCGTTATAAAATTTTCTGTTTAATTATATAAATTATAAACTTGCAAGTTGAGCTAAAATTGTGTTTAAAAGTTCAATATTTTTAAATTATAAACTTTTATAAAAATCAACTTTAAAGAAACAAAACAAAAAGTAAAATATGTCATTTTGAATTGGAATTTTGCACGTATTATTTTAATATATTAAAAATTAATAATAACTTGAATAAAAAATTTTTTTTATTTAATTTTTTCATGTGATTCTAATTAATAATAATCTCAAAAAAGAGGTGATTGAAAAAATCTAATTTATAACCTGAAATCGGCGTAAAAAATTGGTTAAGTGAAGTATATATTGGTCTATAATCATTAAAAACTATTTTATTGTATTGATATGATTTTACTGTGTAATTTAGTATAAAAATGAATTTTAAAAAATGTTTTTTTAGCCTAATTTTGAGATATTTACCTGAATTTCGAAAATCACATGAATATTAGCTAAAAATAACAATTCAAGATAGTTCAAAAATTCAAAGCAGCTTTTCTTCACTTTGAGGAGGCAAAATAATCAAAATAAGTGTAAATTATTATTAATGTAAATGAGATTCATGTAAATTGGTGGACTCATTACTATGGCAAACCTTTATAAAGTATTTTAAAATAAATTAAATTATAATAAAATTTAAACACAAAAATAGCATATTTGTAATCTACGGAAATTATTCGCACGTAGCAGTTAAGTCGTCAGAACAAATTTTTCTTTTTAACTTATAGTACATAATATAAGCTTTAGTTTAACATATATTTAAAAAAAAACCCAGCACAGGGGGGTCGCGGCACAGTGGTGACGTGGCATAGTTGGATCAAGTAAATGATATCTGACAGTGATTAAAATCACTATCAAAAATAAACGCTTCGATGCAAATCTTTAGATAGTGTTTAATTTTAAAAAAATTGGTGTTTTANATTTTAAAAAGTTAAACTGAAAAAGTTCTACGTTTTATACGTATTTTTCAAATTTTAAACACCATTCGTATATATAATGTATTTAGAACAAAAATTTGTGTTGATCTACACATTTTTCAAAAATTTATAGCAATTTTAGGAGAAAAAAATGTCAAAATTTACCGATTTTAAAAATTATAACTTTTTAGAGGATTTCCTCCATTTACATGGAACGAGAGAAATTTTTCAATTTTTAAAGACAATGTCTTCAACTATATACAATTTGTGATATTTTGAAGTATCGTTAAAGAAATCAGTTCGGTGAGAGCTGAGAAAAAGTGTTAACAGATACAAAAAAAAACACATTATGGTAAAATTAATTACTTCTCAGCTTCGCAATAAAACTAAAAGTCGTTTCTTATCGATTTCAGATTTTGTGAGTATCCCAAAATTATCTTTTAAGAACTTTATTACTAAAATAAAATTTTCACCAAAAATTAAATTTGTTCTTTTTACAGTATTTTATTTATATATATATACATATAAATTTTAATTTTTAATTTAGTTTAAGTTATTCTGCTAAAAAAATTTGATATTGAATATCCCATAAATTATACTAAACAGTTTTTAAAGTTTTTTTTATTTATTCTAATAAGTAAAAAAAAATTTAATTAAAATATTAACTATATTTTATTATATTATCAATACTTATTAATAATATAATTAAAATAATATGTATTATTACGAGTAAAATTTATAAATTATCGTATTTTTTTATATGATCACTAATATCCACCAAAAAATAGCTTAGTAACAATCAAGGGGACCGAGTTTTAGTCGTTAAATTTTTACCCTCCCATGTAAAAAACAGTTCCGGCGTCCCTGGTAGTATTAATTCTAATATTGTATTAAAAAGATATGCACTTGAAGTTTAAATCTCCTTCAGATACTGGCTCAGGAACATCCAGACATTCGGACATTATAAGAAACGCTTTAGAAAATAATTTAAATTTATCATATTGATTAAAGTCATGATTATAAAAATTATCTAAATATTCCATCCATTTCACCAGAACTTCTTTAGGTCGCGTGCCACCCACCACAAATAGATCATCCATGGAACTCAAATCAACAAATGATAAATCAGTCATGATTTTTGACTCTAGCTCTTTTCTAGTACAATGTTTCAGTGTACGCATATAGAACAAAACTTGGTTGTACGTTTTGGTTGGGATTCGACCAGCAATTTTTTTTACATCTGTTATTCCATACATATCAATAGCTTCGGCTAATTGAAGTTTTTCTTCTTCGTTCCATTGGAGGTGAGAAATCTTTGATACATCTCTCTTTGCACCCTTCTATAAACAATAAAAATAAAATACATTAATAGTTCAACCTAAAGTATACTATAATTTTACCATACAATAATACAAGAACCAACAAATTTTGTTTAAGATACTTTTTGTGTTATAATAAGATGAGTAAAGTAATAAACAATCTTTTAAATTAACTTAAAACCAATAGACTGCAATTTTTTAGGATAAACAAAATCTTAAATACGTAATTGGATAAACATATTGATAGCAAAACCGAAAAAAATAAAGGAAGATGAAAAAATGACAATACTGGTATAAAACAATCAATTAATTATTGTTTAAAAAAACCCCAAAATCTAAATGAAAATCAAAATATGTATTTATATTTTTAAACATCTCATAAGCTGATTAGTTTTATATACAACTGAATGTTTTTTTTTCAAATTGTCGATAAACTACAATGTTAGAATTTACAGTGATATTATTATGGGGTCACACTTGAACTAAATAATTTGACCATATTCATTGCACAGTGGCCGTCAAATGGGAAATTGGAGGACAGATCTCCATTCTTTTTTGACATTTTTGTACAATTTTAATTACATATATTTTGGAAACTTTATAAATTATAATTCAATTTAGAAGTTATTGAGCGTAATTATGAATAAAATTAATAACCCTACAAATTTAGTAGATTAAAATTTCTCGGAACTTATACATAGGTAAATTTAACGAGTACCTTCTAAAAAAAAATAAATATTTGAAATAGGCTTATTAAAAAAAAACCATTTATGCATGTCAAATAGTCCATAATAACATTCTACTATAGCAATACGAGTAAAAAAATTCTGGATAATTTGGGCACAGCTCCCATGATGAATTTTATTATAATGATTTTTCATCCCTTTTCATAGCAAAATCTTTTGACCGCTACTGCCATTGCAATTTTAACGATAAATTTCGTTTATAGTAAAATTTAAGTTTGAATACCTATTAGAAAATAATAATTTTTTTCAACTTATTCATTTAATTTTATAAAAATGATTTGACTTATATTATTTTGATATTCACAATATAATTTCCAAATGTTTAAAGAATTTTTAAAATTAAATAATCAAAAATTTTCAGTTTATTTTATATTAGTTTGCGCAAGTAATTGTATTCCGATTTTATTTAATATTTATACTCGTTGTTATATTTTTTTCCTTTATTAATATATACACAATCTGTTCCCTATAGGTACAATAAGAGTATTAGCTAAAATAATTATAACATGGAATACTTGATAAAAGAAGCCGCCACCCATTGATGACACTTTTAGTTAAAACTATTAAAAAATTAAATTAAATTAAACTAAAATCAACCAACAAATCGTAATTTGAAAAAGTGAATAATTCCTTTATTATTTTAATGTAATTTTTTTATCAAGGACGTATAAAAGAGGACACATAAAGGAGAACAACTGTATAGTAAAACATTTTCTTACATATATCGCCCCAGAACAAAAGGCCGATTATATCATTATTTATAATTGAAACACCTACTTAAAATGATTTTTTTAATTTTAAGGACAATAAAAATACTAAAATCTTAGAGTAAAAACATTAAATAATCATACTAAATAAAACATTTTTATTTAAATATTATTCACTGCAATTTTATTAAAATTGGTTAATAAATCCAACAATGTTTATTAATTGCACTTAAATTTTGACAGATTAGTCTTATATCAAATTGAATCAAATGTTCAAAAAAAAAAATATGAAAATAAATTATTTTAATAAAAGAATTAAAATTTAAGTCATAACTTTTATGCGAATCCTTTTTTTTTTTTTAATTACGTTTTTTGTTTGATTATCAAATAGGTTTACGAGGTCATAAACAACTTATACTTTGGTTTCATGCTTCTTCTACTGGCTATGCTTATAATAAAAATTGATAAATTTATTTCTATAAATATTAATTTAAATTATTTAAAACGCAACTATACATTATTTTTACAATTGCAAATTGAAACACAAGAATGTATTCTTAATTCGATCATAAAAATTGAGTTTCTAATTAAATATTAAAAAACTTAAATGTGTCTAGACTGTAATGTACACTGAATTATTATAGAATAGATATTCCATATATAAAAAGTTGTTCACGAGTTATACTGCACACACTCGATATATATAAAAATTGTAAAACTATTATATGTATTCTATGTATCATGATAAAAAACATAAGTGGTAATAATGATTTATTTAAAATTAAGTTCTTACAATTTTTTTCTTAATAAATAAAATTTATTTTTATTACAATGAATATGTATAATAATTACAGAGAAAATATTACTACTAGAAGATTTGTTTACAAAAATTAAATATAAAATACATTTATATATAAATATTTATATAGTTTGTAAATTAAATCAAAATTAGTATCTATGATCTATTTCCTACAATTGAGTTATTTTATAGAAATATCTTTTTGACACTGAAGAATACATACTTGATGGTTATGATCATGCAAATTACAGTAAATTACATTCATATAAAATTTTTACTATTATTTTAGATGTCATGAATGGTAAAACAGTAATTTGTTAAGTAAAGTAGTAAACAAAATTAGAATTAAATTAAAAAATAATTAAAATGACAATTCTTATCTTTTGTGTTGATTTTTTTTTTTTTTTACAAAATACTATCAACTGTATTTTCAGAAAATTATCACAATTTACAATCAAATATAAATTTAAGGTAGAAAATAAGCTAAGGCCTAGCACATAAAAAATATGCTTACAAATTTATATTTGTTTTAAACGGACACTACAAGAAATAAAAATTAAATGAAAGAATAATTGTAAAAAAAAAATAATATACATACAGGTTTTAATTAAGTCACTGCTAAATTTTTAAAACATATTTGCAATGATAAAAAAGGCACTCAATAAAAATTGGTACTATCCAATAGTTATGATGAACTCAGATTTATCAAGCAAAATACTGTAAAAAAAAAATAGGGAAAAGGGATAATAAAGTAAAAAGTATACCATTCAATTGTTACTATGTAGACAATTCACACATTCAATATTAAAATACATAATCTGGTCCTGCCATGTCAATAGCCCATCTAAATTTGTCTCTTTGCGTTTTATTGTAAATTTTTTCAATAGGAACATCAAATTTCTTACACCAGGCTACAGAAATACGTGGGTCCAAATAGTTCAATTTGGACGTACCCAAAGCAATTGTCTTATTTTCTTCTTTATCAGTCTCTTGAACTTCTAGTTTGGTTAGCTGTTCTTTCATTCGTTCTAATGCTTTTTTCTTTTTTTCTAATTGGGTTTGAGAGTGCACACTACCATCTTTTGCATCTCGTTTAGCTTGTTTATATGCCTCTTTAGCTTCTTTAACCTGAGTTCTTTTGTTTTGTATTTTTTCTTTAAGATTCCCCATTGATTTTTCATGGGTTTTTGGAATAGCCCTTTGATGGTTACACAATATAGCAACAGCACGATTGGCACGATTGTATTGTAATATTTTCTCAGCTACAGAAACATTAGGATCTGTTAATTTGTCTAATTGCTGTTGTAAAGTCCATGAAGCGTTGAACGTACGGAATACTTTAGCAGTAAGACCATCCATTAGTTCATGTAAATGTTGATTCAATATTGATGTGTTCAACCTATCAAAAAGATCATCACTGCCTTTTTTGTTTTCCATAAAAATTTTCAAATTCTTGAACACTCTTTTTTCGACAGGCACTTCATTGTAATATCTTATTGAATCTTTACCTAAGAAATCAAATACAACAACATATTCTTTTCCATTAAGTTCTTCATGTAATTGAATATGCTCTACACGTAAGGAACAACAACCAACAGTATCTGCTTGGTCTTCATCTTTTTCATTACCAGCTCTCAATGCCAATTTATCAATAAAGTACAAAGCAACTGATCGCTGTCTAACATGCATTTCTCGGGATTTCCAATCAGTAATATAGTTTTCTCTAATTTTATCAATTGACTTAGCTAATTTTCTAGCAGTCTCATATTTTTGCCAATCTTTTTCACCCTTTAGTTTTGATGAAGGATTTAACATTACATATTTAACTTGACCTTGAACATTTTCAATCCAACTTGCAAGCCATGTTACTGCACTATCATGTTTTACTTCTTTCCATTTGTGACCAGCAGGAGGTTTAGGTATATTAGAATCTTCACTACAGTTAATCAAAACATCTTCAGGTACCACTCTTTTTTTTAACATTCCCATTTTAGGATGCTCCCCTCTGCCTCTAAACAAACCAGGAGGTTCAATTTTAAAATTACCTATTTTTTCTTTATGGCCATCAATAGTACAAAACCCATATTCTTTTTGAATGGCTTCATTTTCCTCTTTTATTTTTTTTTTTTCTTCTTTACTCATTGCTTTACGTTCTTCAGATTTTTGAGTAAAATATTGATTCATTTCTTTAAAATTGCACTTTGATAAATCAGTTATTAATTCTTTCTCTTTGGGTGTCATACATTTACGCCAATCTTTAAAGAAGTTTTTATTAAACACTTCTTTGGTAGTATAGTCATGCTCAAGCATTTTGGCATAAAATGTTGCAACTTCTTCTGCAGATTCAGACAATTGAACACATTTACCTTCATAGTAAAACTTCACATTTTTTGGTAATGGTTCATAGTCAGGAGCAAATACTGGACCTTTATGTTCTAAAAATTTCCATTTTACACCATCATTTTTTTTTTCTTCTTCCCACCACTTCCAAACCTCTTGTTCTTCTTCTTTCTTCTTTTTGGACGGACTTTTAATGGGAGTTTCCTTTTGTGATGTATTATTTTCCTTTTTAATTTTATGTTTTGAGGAATCTTTAGATGAAGAATGATTTTTATCTTTTTCTTTATGTTTACTTTTATGTTCTTTGTCTTTTTTATGTTTTTTATGACTACTACTGTGTTCTTTTTTAATATGCTTTGTTCTAGCGCTCAGGGGAATGTCATCTTCACTACTAGCTGAGTGTTTACGCTTTCGACTGGATAATGGTATATCATCTTCAGATAGATTTTCTTCCTTAACAAAATTATCACTATATTTTCTTTTGCGACTGGAAAATGTGTCATCTTCATTATCGGAAAAATTTTCTTCTTTGATGCTATTTCCTAATTCATACTCTCTCTTAATTTGGGAGTTATAACCAGAGTCAAAACGGTCATCATGGTACTCCCGTTTGATTTCTTTCTTATTAACACCATTTTTTTCATGTTCCTGCATAACAATAAAAAAATTAAATAAAAAATAGTTTTTGGTTAAACAAGGCCCATTTTATCAATCATTTGATAAATAACATATATTTCAAAATCCTTTGATATAAGTAGTAGCAATATGTTGCCATAATTAGGTAAGTTAATTTTATTATGTTATAAAGTTAAGGAAAAGTAAAAGTGATAGACAAAACAAGGCCTCATGTACATTATTCAAATTAGTTTACCTTTAATTTTTTAACCCCAGTACACCTATTCAACTTGATTGGTGTACAACTGAGTCATCATGATTTGTTCAAAAAAAAAAAAATAATAAAGAAAAACTGAAAAGATTATGATAAAGTGTTGATAGTAACTTAAGGATTTTATAACCGAAACACTCATAAAAATACGATAAGATATATTTAAAAAAATATGGTTTACTTATAAATATTTCTAATTCGACCAAATGTGTGCAGTTAAATGGAAATATAAGATAGTTGAATAGGTGTAAACACGACACAAACAATTCATTTCATTTATTTATAGAAATATGTAATACATTATGAAGGTTTTATGATTAAAATAAAACATGTATTTATATAAAAATTTTTTTTTTTTAGAAGTTTTTAAATTTATTATGAAATATTAACAGTTGATTAGTTTAATGACAAGAAAAAATTATTTAGATTATTCAATGGCGCCTATGACCAGCATTCTATGACATATGTCATAATATAAATAATGGGTCAGTAATCCTTTAATTTTTTAGTTTGTCTACACCAATTTTTTATTATAATACAAAATTTATTATTTTGTTTAAAACTTTCATATAAATAATAAAAATAAAAAATTGAAAGAATGGTTGTAAAAATTTTCATTTAAATAGTGCTATTGTGCATATTAAATAACAACTGACACATATGACATCAGTTCAACATATTTATTAATATTTTGAAAATATGCATTAAAAAGCATAATATCTTTATCAAATTAAAAATAATACACTTAATTATAATTTATTAATAAAAACAACAATTTATTAACTTAATAATCTATATTATAAAAGCAATTATGGTTATATTAAAAAAATTGAAAATTTATAATATTTAAATACTAGTATTGTAGAAGTACTCTGTGTTAACAATATAAAATGAACACACACATAATTCTAACACTACAATTATAAGTTTTATTTGTTTAAAATTGACTAAAAAAATAGTATCTCAAACTTACTCTTCACAGCTAGGGACAAATAATTTTCTTTTCATTATATACAAAAACTAAATACTTGACTATCAATAGTTATAAAATTTTAAATGACTAGAAATTGTTAAAAAAAATCAGGTGTACTTAACTGTATTAATATAACATATATAAATCATTTTAATTTATAATAATCTTTAATTATTTCATCTGTTATTGAAAAAGCATATTTAAAATCTTCACGGCTTGTATTAAATTCAGAATAATGATGAATGAAAGCCTTATGCAAAAAAGCCCGGTTTGCTAATTTAAGCACAGAATTTAAAGAATCAACATTAACTGTACTGTTAGACAATACACTTAAATATTTAGTATTTAGAAAATGTTTGTTTTGATATACATGAGAAAATTTAACATCATCCAAAATATTTGTTGGAAATAATATAGTGTCATTTAATTTGTCAAATTTCAATTGTTTTATTAATTCATTATCAACAATACCCCGGCTCACAATTTTATTTCCAAGTGAAAGACACGATTTTTCATTTAATGATCGAATAGTTTGATTAATAATTGCTCCCCATTTAGGAGTAGATTCATATGATAAATATTCTTTTCTATAGTTAGGCGATGATATTGTTTTGAGTAACTTGTATTTTGTGTCAGATACTAGAGACATGAAATAGGTAAAATGTTGATTTTCTAGTGGTTGAAAAATTGAAGCGAGCTGTTTACTACATACTTCATTTATATCATCAAACGAAACTTTAATCTCAGAATGTCCTGCTTGTGAAACTTTATACAAAACAGAATTTTCAAATAAAAAAATACATTCTGATAAATTATATAGCTTACTGACAGAAAATAGAGTGTTGTAGTTTTGAATAGCATCTTTAGTTTCATAAGGAAGTATAATCACTATGTTAAACAATATTTTAGCATATTCTTTTTTCAAATTTTCTAAAACAAAGCAGGCTAATCCGGAACAGCCACCAGAGGAAGATAATATGATCAAAAAATACTTTACAGTCACATCTAATTTTTGTAACTCATTTCTTAATCTATTTGAAACATCCTCGTAAACTTCAGGTCCTTTAATATGATAATAATATGACCAGTTGTTATTTTTTCCTTCAATAAAATTAAAAGCTAAAGAGTTAGGTCCAAAACCCCAATTAATCGAAGTTGTTTTAATTTTAGGATCAGCTAAATCAACTAAAATAGTTCTAGGTTCCAAAAAGTCATTTGATTTTTTTTCAAAAAAAATTGATTCACTGATATTTTTATATTCTTTGTTATATTCATTAGATAAAGAAGAATCAAAATTATTATTATCATCAAAAATAATAGAATAAAAATATTGAGCAAGATGAACACCACAATTGCCAAAACACAATGTTAGAACAGACATTATTTAAAATAAGTTAGTTCAAGTTAAAATGTATAAAAATAATTACTAAGCCATATACACTAACCCTATCACGTTTTTTTGACTTTTCATGTTTTCGATCACTGAACTCTCGGTCTTCTGAAAAAAAAAAGAAATAATTATAATACATATCATTTAATCTTTCAATTTATAAGTAGTTCACATTAAGTTCATGATAATGCATTAAATGACATCTTACATAATAACTAACTTTAAATAATTAATCCCAAAAATGGAAAAGTTGTTGAATTAAATTATAATCAAAAAAATAATAATTGTAACTATATAGATAGTTAATTACCCAATAAAACAAGTAAAAATAAAAACAAAAATTCTATTTAAATTTTTATTTACAAATAAGATTAACTCAACGTATACAGAATTTAAAAAAAAAAAAAATTCTCTTAAATCATTTTTAAGAGAATTTATTTTTAACTATTTTGTACTTCTTAATATTTTTATTGTTCTTTTTATGTAAAAAAGTGAAATTTGAAAAAAATATATAATCTTATAAAATAGTAAAATAAATATGTAGTTTTTAAAAAAAGGTAGATAATTAAAAAATTATATTTTTTTTACATATTACTTCTTTAACAATAATCTTTGTAGATAAGAAATATATCTAATAAATGTAAGTATAAATATTCAAATGATCAAACTAATCATTTTGGTAGTTTAATAAAAAAATTAAATTGCATAGAATCCACATAACCTTATAATTCAACCAGGAAGTATGCTTTGAAACAAAAAATATAGCTTTTGTTGAATATAACAAATCAAGTATTTGAATTGATAAAATAAATATTAATATAATAATTAAAATAATAAATTATCATAGTTAATAGACATTTTAAGTAATAGTTGAACTATGAGTTTTAAAAGACAACTTCTAATGCATAAATGATAAGAAAAATTAAAAAATTAATTTATGTGAAATTAAGATGACAATAAGTATCACGTTAAGAATTAACGGTTTCATATAAAAATGATTCACCTCTCACAACTTTAGAATAGTTTCAATGTAACATCTAGCAAACATAAAATTAATTTTTGAAGACCGAATATGGTCAATCTTTATGGTCTCATTTTAATATTCAATAAAGTATCTTATATAAAATTTTAATTGATTTAATAATTAAAACTAAGATTAATAAACAGAGAGCATTATGAATATATCTATGTATAAACTCCTACTAATATGGCCTTATACTTTCTAATTTAAAGAATAAAACTTTTATATTTATTACCCAAGTGATTTAGGTTGAGATTTTTAAAAATCTAACCTATAAAAGTACTTTTAGTTTTTATCTTAAAAATTTGAAAAATAAAAAAAAATTGTATTTCTAGTTTTTAGTAGAAAAAACAAATACCATAACAAATAATTTTATCAATTAACTCTTTCAATTTTGGTTATTATTAAATATACTTATTTTAATAATAAAATAACAGCCTATTAAGCTGACAATAATTACAGAAAAAGGCCAGCAAATTTAACACATACTAGTTAAAAATAAGTAGTTAAATATCTTATAAATTGTTCTAAATGATTAATAACAGGATTTACCAGCCATGTTAACTTTAATCTTCACGTGGATACAAAAATGTTGGTCGTACTCGTGTCCGTAGCGGATGTGGGTACACTTCAAACTTCAAATCTATTCAATTCAAGAAAGTAATGGTTATAGAATATAACAAATTGCATGAAAATGAATTTTAACATAAAAATACTTTTATTGACTATACGTTATTTAAACGTAAAAATACAAATATAAAATAACACTACATAAAATATCTAAGACGGTCACACATATTTCTCACAGACGACGTGGAAAACATAGTCGAAGCCGCTTCCAGAACTCAGCAATAACGAACGATGGTGATTTGGACTTGTAAAATTTTACGCATAGGTATAACGACAAAGAGGGATCAGAGGTAGTACGTCAGAGAAGTGCATTGACTTTTTTTGTTTGAGCCGTTAATCCGGCAACGTTAATACAACGTTGCCAAATAAATAAACGCTGTTCTGTATTTTCATTGGTTACTAAAAATTAATGGAAGATGCACTATTTTATACAATTTATTCAAATAAAATAAATAAAGAAAACAAATACTCTGTCTTTATCATCTATATATAATATGTAAAATATTCAATTAAACTTTAACGTAATAAAATTTGATTTTACTTTTTTATTATAAAATTCTATTATTAGTCTTATCATTAAAAAATTATCATGAGTTTTGGTTCACTATATTGATAACAGATAATGATAAGTATTTTTCAAATTTTCTATGTTATCAAAATTTGAATTTTCTTTTTATTGACTTTTCGGACCCCTTTGTGGTGTCACAATGTACAAAATTGTAAGATCTCTTAACAATAGCTTAAGTACTTCATTTCGACCTTGTCACTCGTTTGCTTACTGTGTTTTTCGTTTTCAAAGAAATGTAAAACATCTGGATTTTATACAGTCTAAATTTTTTTATACGAATTATGAATATCAACCAATGTATAGTACATTTTTATGTGTTCGTAGTTATGCTAAAAGCAAGGATAAGAAAAGGGAGAAAGGTATATAATTATTGACATAGTATAGAGTATCGAATCACAATGAAAGATCTATCTTACTTTTGCAATTTTTAATAAGAATTTCAAGATTGATTTATTATTCAAATATATCTTGATTTAAAAGAAATTTTTAAATTTTAACTCTATAATTAATAAAGAAATGGATTACATGGTTAAAGATAGCAAATTTTATGTACTATAAAAAGTTTTAAATACACATAAGAAAATGATCAAATTATTTAAATGATTTATTTTATTAAAATTAATTATTCTATTTACTTAATGTGGTACTATGAACATTAATATTAAACATAATATTAAAGCATAAAATAATTATGAAACAATTGCTTTCACCAAATTATTTGAGAATGGGTATTTTAACTTTTTTATTTTTTGGTATTCTTTGGTCATTTAATGGTACTAATTTTTAGCCTTTAAAATTATTAAGCAAGCTAACCAATTTTTACTTAAGGTTAACAAATTTGAACTGTTTAATCATTTTTTTCTAGATTGAAATATTTTACCAAGATCAATTTTTATTTTAAATAAATTCTAATTGTTCATAAAATATTCTATCAATTTATTTATGCATACAAAATTCCTAGCACATTTCAGTACTTAAAATAAAAATTGTATTTTAAATTTAAGGAGGGACCACTGTACTTAGATCTTCTTTAAGCTATATGTCTAAAAATTACTAAGAAGCTTATAAACAATTTCCTACTCATAATTGTTATAAAATATCAAAAAAATGGAAAAACCTACTTTTGAAATAAAATATTTTTATTTCTTAAAGATATCTTAAAAATATAAGCGTGTTAAAAATACTTATAAAATACAGTGTCATATTAATAGAACATTCGGTGCATTTTTACAGGACTCACTCGTAAGGACAAATAATAGTTGTATATAATTAATAATATATGACTGATTATCAAAAATAGTATAAATATTATGTTAAAAATAAAATTGATATTGCACAACCAAAAGTTTTGATGACACTATTATCGAGTTTTTGGAACCATAAACTAAAAAATGTTTGTAAACACTTATAATTTAAAAACTGTCATTTATTCTTATACAACTATTATTAAATATATATTTTAATTATTGTCTCTGTAAAAAATTTAATAAATATATAAAGGATGCTCAGTAAGTAAGAAAACAAGTCAATTGTTACAAACAATGAGAACAATAAAAATGAGTTTCCTTACTTACTGAACACTATATATATATATAATTACTGTATATATTTATCTATAATATAGATTTTAACGGTTACTAACTTTTTTGGGGGTTAGGTTATTATTTAGAGTTTGTTTTTTTTAGGAAACCCACCTTATTATTTTATACTGGATCTACAGATTTGTAAATTAGGCCTCAAAATACTAAGCTTATAAATGCCATAGTTGGATGAATAAAAGTTATTAATTTTAATAAAATATAAGGTAAAATCTTATTTTTTTCATATGTGTTTTCAAACTTTAGGCCTATACAGTGTTATAAAATAGTAAACATCCATTGAAACAATTTAATTGTAGTAATTTTTGCTCTAATTTAAAATAAGCCTTTAAGACACAATCTAATTTGCTTAAACTTTGATAATGTTATTTATACCATGAATATTATAATGTAAGTTATGTCTTTGTAATTTTCAATAAATTTTAATTGATTTTGAAAATAATCAAAATAAAGTCTTTATTACCTCTGTCGATCATTATCTACCTACATTTGTATACAAAAATACCATTACAATATGTTGATAAAAATCAATTAGTTCAAATTTTCAACTAATAATATGTTTTACATATAATTTTCAGGTCAAAAAAATATATCAATTGATGAAAACCTTTTATCTCAATACTTAAAGTACAATAGTTTAAAATCTGAAATGGAGAAAGCTGTTTCCAATTTAAAAAACAACTATGTCAAAAATTTATCATTAAGGTCATCAACAGGTATCTAATATTTATTTAATATTATAAACAATATAATATGATTGCAAAGACCTAAATTTTTATCTACTCTGATATAAATTATATGGTTATAAGTGTAAAGAAAACTATAAATTTCTCCAAAGCAGCATAATACTGCTTTAAATCTTAAATCCTAATAATCACTGTTATTTGAATATGTATTATTGTTATCAATGTATTTTTATTTGAATTTGATGAGTAGCATACTTAATGAATAGCAATATTTTACCTTTTGTCTCTCCTAAAAACTAATATAATTTGATTGGTTTCTATTAAATAATACTGATATTATTTGTATTAATAAGTATTATTTTATGTTACATAAACATAATTTAAGGAAATTTTTACACAGTACTAGATTAAATAAAGTATAAAAAAAATTATTAAAAGTATAAAAATTACTTAGTTTGAATGATTAAAAAAGAATATCATTTGTTTTTATATTATTTTTATTTAATAGCTTATGATATAAATGACTTGAAATGTTATTACGAGAACATCCTTTCTTATTTTGTATTGGTATCTTTACTACATGAATTTTTCTGAAAAATAAAAATAAACTAAAGCTACTATCCAAAAGAATTTATATATTTGACTTTACACATAATGTGGGTTTTAAAAAATTGAATATCTTCTATGAATATTACATTAAACCATTCATTTTAAATATTCTTTTTCACAAAATGAAAAATAATTCCTTTTAGCTTCGATGCGAAGCTGAGAAGGTATTAATTTTACCATGATGTGTTTATTTTTTTTTTTATTTTT